AAAAAAATTGCCACAATACTGTTTTTCAACTTTCTATTCCATATCAATGGTTTGTTTGTCTTTGTGGTAGTGCCGATTAACTTAACTGTTTTGATTATACTGTTTTAAAGAATGTTTTAATATTTATAGTGCAAAAGTTCTTTTAAAGGATTTTTGAATAAATATTTATATGAAGTTAAGAGTGATTTTTGCTTAGTACTTATACTATGCAAAATAATCTCATTGTAATTCTTATGAGAATTGTATCATTTATCTATAACTTAGGGAACAATAATCACTTTTATGATAATGCCTGTATTTACATATGTATGACTATATTCTTTTGTTAGTTTTACCATTTTCTTCATATACGTCTTGTCTGAACTCTCTTGGTAAAGTTTATCTCTAGGTATACCAACATTTCAGAATTTTTCTTTTAATTTTGTATATATATATATATGCATATATATATGTATGCATATATATATATGTATGCATATATATGCATAAGCATGGGGATTTTTAATGTGCACCTTAGTTTTAGCTTTCTTACTATATTATTTATGTAGTAAACTCAGTTGATAGATATTTAAATATCAGCTCAATTTTATGTAACTAAAATAAGCTATATTCAATGATAGAATATTATAACTTTGTTATAATTTGCTAATATTCTATTTAAAATATCTGCATTTAATTTTATAAGTGAAATTAGAATTTTTTCTGTGCTAGTTTTATTAGGTCTTATTATTTGGATCCACTGGCTTAGTAAGTTAATTAGGAAAATTTTTACCTTTTTCTCTTCTGTGGGACAAATTAAATTGTAGGGAAATTATCATTTTCTTAAAATTTATGTAAAATCCAAGTGTAATGTCATATTTGTCTATTTTAAATTTTTAAGACGGTGGCACATTTTTATTACCTTTTTTGTATACTCCAGTCTTAGGTTTCTTCTTAACTTTAATCATTTGTCTTTTACTTGAAAAATATCCATTATCTAGTATAATATCAGAGAACTACATATAATTTTCTTTTTTTGCAGTCATTCCCCTTATCATTTATGTTTCATTTCCCAAGCTTTATGTTGTGTGCTTTTATCTTTGTTTCTTCATTAGAATATTGGAAAGATATTTTGCCTTTGCAAATAACCAGCGTTTGGTTGAACTCATCTCTTGTTCGTTTGCTTTCTGTCTGGATATTGTCCCCAAGCCTGATCCTTCTCTTTGAGATTTTTGCACAGTTCTGCCTACCTCATTATGAAATTTCTGTTCAAATATTTCAGCAAAACTTCACAAACCACTCCTTCTGGCCACCCTGCTATCCCAGGACATCCTATTGCATTACTGAACTTGACATTTTTTGTAGCTTATATCTCCATCTAAAATTATCCAACTATTTTAAAATTTCAAGTCAACTTTCATTTTTAAAAAAATTTGCAAAAAAATAATAAAGTTAATACAGGGAATTGTGATAAGGCTCTCATCTGATTTTCTGCTCTTAACATCTATTAATATGGACATTAGTTATAAATATTAAATAAAGATTTGTTTTATTCAAATTTCCTTAGTTTTATTCATCATTTGTTTGTTGTTGTTTTTTCTTTCGTTTTTCATACCTGCTCCCATTTCCTATCCAGGTCGCCACATTTATATTTAGTTACTTTTCCTTGTGCTTCTTCTGGCCACGACAGTTTCTTAGACTTTTTTTTTATGACATTGATATTTTTATGACTCTAATGTTTCTGTATTTTTCATGTCTGATTATTCTCACTAATATTTGTGCTAATGTGTTGAATGGAAGTGGTGAGAGTAGGTATCCTTGATTTGTACCTAATCTGAGATGGAAAACTGTTAATTTTCCTTATTGGTATTGATGTTAGCTATGGGCTTTTCTTAAATGGCCTTTATTATATTGAGGTACATTCTTTTAATAACTAACAATTTGTATCAAGAAAAGACATTAAACTTTGTCAAGCAGCTTTTCTGCATCTACCGAAATGATCATGCCATTCTTAACTTTCTTATGTTATTGGCATTATCTTTTAATTGGTCTGCATCCTAGGTTTAAAGCCTGCTTGGTTATGATGTATAATTTTTTGATGTGCCACGGAATTCCTTTTGCTGAGGATTTTTGTGTCTATGTTCATCAGAAGTAGCTGTAATTTTTCTTGCTTGTACTAGCTTTATCTGTTTTCATATCAGTGTAATACTGGTTGACCTCCTAAAATGAATTTAGAATCTTTCTACTAGTATTTATTGAAACAGATTAAGAAGGGATATATAGTTCACTTACTTTTAATATTTCCTTTTCAAAATAAAGTATTTTAAGATCCATATTTTCTTCAGGGCTTACATCCCAGTTTTGATATGAAATGGTCTCCATTGTTGTACTATGTCTAAATAACTTTACCTGATTTTCATTGCATTTCTTATCTTTGATTTGGTTAGATAACTATTTTCTCACTTAAAAGCACTTATATTTTTTGCTTATTTGTGATTTTCTCATTCACTTTAGGGTATCTTCAGTGATTTCTTGATACCTACAATCATTTTCTGTGAATTTCTGTCCTATGACCATGAAGGATAACCAACTATGCATCATCTGTTCAAAGAACACAAAATATTCACACACACACACACACACACCTTATAATATTTAGAATTCTGATTTCAAAACACTACTGTGTTTTTCGTGATGATAAACATCTGTTTCAGGAAAGAAAACTCAGCCTTTTTATTATTACAATTAACTGTGTGTTACTCTCATAGATTTTGTATGCACTTTGACTTTAACAATCTTTGCTTTTGTTTGTTGTCGTTGCTTTGCCCTCTTCCTCCCTTTTGCATAAGCGTCAGTCTCCACTGCTCTCTAGGCCTGAAATAGTATCTGAGTAATCATAATCCTTCAGCCCCTTCATCACTGTTGCAATCTGTATGCCAACCACTTCAAAATTATTTTTCAGAGAGGAATTAAATATATATACTATTAATTGTTCTTACTTCCTTAGCTCAAGACTAGTGTGTCCAAATACTGATTTCATCTCTATGTAGCATTTATTACTCAGAGCTTAGATCTCAAAATAGTCCTCTTGAGTTGCATGCCAGGAATTCACTCTTTCTCCACTCTTTACCTGTACAATATGGTCTCATATGCAAACCAAAAGCTAGGATTCACAAAGGAGTGATCCTCCAATCAGGGAAGTGTGGAGAGGGGAGGCAGTGACCAGCTATGTGTTGGGAGGACAATCCCACACACTGGGCCTCTCTACTTTTTGGAGTGGATCCTGCCACCCGACAAGACTCCCTTGTGAAAAAACTAATTGTTGGCCACATTTTGAGTTTAACTGCATTTTATGGGTGCCTTGACCATGAAGTTAAAATTCATGAGTCCCAGAAAACATTCATTACAATAATGCCTTTTATTTTCTTTGCCAAAATATTTGGAAGTGCGAGGATGTTTTTGACTTTAGAGCAATCAGCAAATTTTTTTGGCAACTCATTCCTTCTTCCTGTTGGATTAAACAAATTCTGAAAGAGGGCTTCTCAAACTATCACCTGCCTCAAATACTTCAGAGGTTTCATAGAAATGATTCAGAAAACTTGGGAAGGCATGGTTATGCATTTCTAACAAGACCCTAACAATGCCAATATGCCAGTCCTATAGAACATACTTAAATGATCAAGCTTAAAAGAATTTCTAGGTGTTTCATAAATTTTGTTTTGGTTTTTGTTTCTAAACTCCACAAAAGAAAATTTTAAATCTTTGTATTCTACAGTCTCATTTCTTTTTTTTTTTTTACAAATTTTTCACCCACCTAGAAAATCCATGTATATATTATACCTGACTATACAAATTTGTTTGAAAAAGTCAACTGAATTTGAAGAATGAAAATTTGTTAGTTCACACAGAGGTAAAATAAGGTATCATAGAATACAGAGACAATTCATAGGGTTCTGACATGATCAGAATTACAGTAAGTCAAGTGACTATCTTGATTTGGCCAGAATATGCCTGGTCTTAGCACCTAAAATCTCCCTGTTTAGGAAACTTCTAAATTTTGAGAAAATTAGGAAAGTCAGCAATACAAGAAGGACTTTCAAGTGACCCCAGATAAGTTGCAGAATTCTGAAGTCCTTCTTGAGTACACCTTAATAATCAATCACTTTCTTTAGTCACTTCTCATAAGAGGTGGTTTAGACTTTAATCAGGGGAATTTAGTAACTTGGCCAGGGTTAGTTTACATTAATTGAAGCCTTAAGATTTTCATAAATTTCCTCCATGCTAAGTACACAATGCCAAGAGAAGAATATTTTGTTTAAATTGGCTTTTCAGCAATATTTTTCTTTATTGCTTCTCTTTAAGACTTTGTATTAAAAATATAAAACAAGCAAACAAAACCCTTTTTTTCTTTCATTCTGTGAAGTTCATTACACCAGAGAAAAATGGGATATAGTTTAACAGTTCTGGCTTTTGAAAGTCGAAGTTCCTCATGGTTAACTTCTAAAAATATTAGCCATATTTGCTAGTTATTTTTCATAGGCTGATGGTTATCTCATGAAGATGATATTCATGATATTTGAAAAACATGCCTCATGCCACAACCAGTAAAACTGCCATTAATATAGAGGTCACCTTTCCAGCCAGATCATAAGATAAATGACATAAATGCATTCTAATTGGGTTAAGAAATCCCTGGGCATTTGGCAATTAGTATAACAATTATTCCATTAATAATGTATAATATTCTTAATGCCAAGTGTTACTAAGCAAAAAAGTTCTGAAAAAGTCTTGATTTTTTTTTAAATGTTTGTGTATGGTAAAACTTTAGTTTTATGATAATTCAACATTTGATGCAGACACATTAATGGGCTAAAGTCAAATTGTGGTTCCAGGATGTGAAGGACAGATCTGAAGTGTTCTCTTTATAATCACTAAGTGATTCAAAAATGTCTTCAGCCCCAACCAAGAACTGGGCATTAGATATGGGTCATCAATTTTCACTGGAGTGGTGGCAGTGTCAGATAGTATTTGTCAAAACCCTAAATACCTTGTAGTAAAATGTTGCAACAGACTGGAAACGTTGGCCTTGGAAACATTTGGAGAAGTAAGCATGTGGAACTGGAAAATTGCCTGAGAAACTAAGAGAGCTGCTTCCATGCAGAGAGGCTCCTGAGCTTGGACCATATCCCAAATTAGATGTATTGAGATCCCCAGGCTGTGTTTTGCAATTCAGATATAGCAGAACTTTCCTGTGGCAGCCTCCTGGGCTCCCCGTTGGTGGGGGCCTTGGAGTGGGAATATATAAATGAGAGCCTTTGTTCTCTAGAGCATGAAGCTGAAATGAGTTTGGGTAGAAAAGCAATTATGTGCGTACATTTGAGAGCCATGCTTTGGAGGCAAATTCAAACTTGAAAAGAAAATCCCAATGCGAGTAGCTTCTAAGGCCTCAGATCACAGATGAAGTTAGAGGTGGCAATTCAGTACTGCCTGGTGATTCAGCCAGTCTTCCTACATCATTTTAAAAAGTCACCAACAGTTCATTAAGTGTAAGGAAATGTTAGGACAGAAAAGCTGTGGGGAGTTAGTAGAATCCAACCTGTGACAGATCCCTCTCTACTGAGAACCTTAGCAGTGCCTGTTTATCTCAAACTCAGTTCTTTGACCAGGGAAGAAAGTTGCTTTGTCACCCAAACTCTTGTTTCTCTAGTCCTTAAAATAGATCACAGGCAATTTCTCTACTTGCTAGGTTTGTCTCTGAAGAATCACCTGAGTGGTCTATAATACCTACTGTAGAATAGCACTGAGTGGTCTATAAAATACAACCAACTGTGACATCATTGTTCAGGTATTCAGTTTTACACACAGCTATGAGCCAACTATAAAAAACTGAGAAGTGGCTCCTGTCTTTGGTTTGTGATTCTGCATCTTGCCTATGGCATTTAGGTAAGCAGTGCTGCTGCCTATAGAATGCTGGGGCCATCTGTGTTGAGTGGCAGCTCCGGAGGACAAAAGTCTTGCATTCATTGTCCTTTTATCTTTCCACATCTAACCTGACCTATTAGACATGTCACTTTGCATGCCACCATCTTCAGGAATTCTCTGACCTGGTATACGTCATCTCTCCCTATTAGGAAGGGAAGTGTGTCTGCCCTCTGTGCTCAGAGAACATACCACTTTACAGTCCTTGTCTCCTCAACTAGTCTCCAGCTAGTGAATCTTTCATCTCTATATCCCTAACACCACATGGAGTAGGCACTCAATCCATGTTGAAAGAAATGAATCCATGGAAGGCAGTACATCAAGGCTACTTGAGTTGAATTGAATAGAGCAGACACACCCTCTCTTATCACTGGGTGGGATTTAGTGCAGGTGATGTAATGTGACTTGACAGGGTAGTTAAATATTGACAGGCAGGAGGAAGCATACCCACACTGTTCACCCAGAAGGAAATAAGGGCTGAAGGTGACTGTCAGATCAGATTGCTGAGGCTGGAAGCTGCTACAGTGGTCCTCATGCCTCAGCTGAGGTCACTGGGTGAACTTGGCTCTTGCTTCAAGAGAGGTGAGCTATGGAGCTTGGCTAGGAAAATGATGGGTTGTAATGTGTGTGAACAGAGTCTCTGCATTGGTGGCTTGGAGATAGATGGCTTGGGTCCCAGATGGCTCTGTAGGTGACCCACTTGCATACAGCTCAGGCCAATCCTCCTTTAAGGCAAACACTGTGAATGTTGTTTGAATCTCTCTCCCCTCACTTCACCTTACCTGCCCTCCCAAATAATCTGTGCTTTACCATAACCTCTTAAGGTGATTGGGGTGGACACTGGTATGACTGTAATTTGAATATTTAGTTGAGGAATTTGTCCATGTGAACTCATTTGTAAGTACTCTTTGATGGTAATGATTAGAGACGTGCATAGAAATTGCATTAGGAGGTCATAAACAAGCTCACTAATACCTGGGTGCTGTTTCACAGATGCGGGTGGGAAGGGAAGGGAGGGGCAAATTAGACGGTGTTTCAGCTGTAATGCGGAATGAGAGAGCAGGCAGAGGTGAGTTCAAGGAGGATATTGGGTAAGTGAGAAAATGTCAACAGACAGCAGACAGAGAAATAGTTTCAGCAAGTCTAGCTCTGCATTTAGAGCAGGATGTGTGTCACCTTGAGGGGAAGCAGACCCAGTTTGATATTAGAAGGACTAATCAGCTGGCACAGCTCAGGTGAGCTTTTCAGAGGAGTTGGTACACTGCTCATAATAATCACATGCAGCCATAAGAAAGAGCCAGGCAGTCTCTATTTGGCTGTTATCTTTTAGAAAGAGAGAAAACTGGTGAGAGGTGAGCAGCAACAGGGTGAGGGAAGCGAGAGATTTGGGGGCATTTAAATACACTCAAATCTCAGCTGAGCATGTGACTAAGGTTAAGGTAGCCTCTTCTGTGTGAGCCTTAGTTTCTTAATCTGAGAAATAGATAGTATCAGAGGCTATGGGACAGACCACTCCAAAACAGAAGAATTCAAAATACTTACTCTGTTTTATATTTTTCAAATAATAGCCTTTTAAACTATCCTTCAAATATTGTACTTCTATCTGCCTGTTTGAAATGTACTAACCAGTGGATTTCAGCATATGCACAGAATTTTGGGATTGTGACCACAATCAGTGTTAGAATATTTTTATCACCACAAAAATAAACCTTGTACCCACTAGGAGCCATTTCTAATTTCCTCCCAATGTTCTCAGTTCTAGCTGGCACTAATCTAGTTTCCGTCTCTAAGAAATTTGCTAGCTCTGGACATTTCATTAAGATGGAATCATATACTATGTGGTAGCCTGTGATTGGCTTCTTCTTGTATTTTCAAGATTTGTTCATGCTATAAGAGCAACATTTTTCATTCTTCTAACTGTCAAATAATATTTCATTGCTTTATTAATATTCATGTCCCATTGTACAGACATGAAACATTTCATTCATTCATCATTGAATGGAAATTTATGTTGTTTCCTCTATTTGGTTGTTAAAATACTACCACTATTAAATCTATTTACATTTTTTGGTGGGATATGTACTTATCACAGTCTCTCCATGCTTGTATGATAAGTTCCTTTAATGTGCCTTCATTTTTGAATGATATTTTCTCTGTAGATATAATTCAGGTTGAACAAGATATTTTCTTTCATTGGGACTAAAAATATCTTCAATCTGAATCCATGCTAGAAGTACAAAATTCTTTCATTTTATTACTATACTGCAACACTTAGATTTGTCCATTTTAAATATGTATTTTAAGCTTACCTATTATAAGCACTAAGAACAATGGAGTTCTCTAGTTCTAATATTTGAGGATTCCGTGGAGAAATATTTCCAGTTGAATGTCCAAAACTGCAAAGGTCACAGCTAGATAAAAAGACTTAGCCCTGTGCTGGCAAATGCCACCCAGTTTTGGCTGATTTGGGGTTGTGGATCCGGAAGTTGTAAGAACAAAATATCAGCCCCTAGACCAGCTTGTGCCCTTGAATTCTTAGCTTGCCCTCTGGTCCTTCTCTTTTCTTCCTCAGAGGCTGGTGTGGGAGTAACTCATTAAAACAATACTAAGAGAGCCACGCATTTCTTTATTTGGGAGCAGCCCTGAGGTCTGAACAGTTTAATCACTTCATACTTGGGTTTAGTGTGCTTTTCATTCCTTTTACAATTTGTTCTTGAAAGACATCCTTCGAGGTGGAACAGACCTATTGTCCCTGTTTGACAGTTAAGGAAATTGAGGTTCTGCACTCCTTCCAAGTCTCAGAGCTGATTAGCTGCGGGATGGGAACCAGGATGCCCATCAGCCAAGGTCCTTGTCAATCACTTAGCCACAGAGACAATTCCCGCTTTGGCTAAGTCATTAAACCAAGGTCAGAGAAGCTTGGGTAGCAGCTTTTAATACTATCCTCAGAGAAACTGTCAGTTGTAAAGAGCAGTTTATGAAGGCCAAAATCTTATGTTACATATTTAAATTATGGGGCCTCAATTTTTTTTCCAATCTATTTTTTTTCAGTACTCATAAGTGTTCCTTTAAAACTCTTGACTAAAAAATCTTAAAGTTCATCTAAGAAATGATTTCCCCCACCACTAATGACAGTAGTTAATAGCACTTACTGTTTGAAATTTTCTATTTATGTCAAACAAATTTCTAACATTGCAGTTTACATTCATTTTCTTCCACTCCTTTCCTTCTCACTCAAAGTGTTGAACAGCTGGCCTCATTCAGGACACAATAGGTCTTCTACCATTATGGTCTACTTGACCCAATCCAACCCAGCCTTCTCTTCACTAGGCAAAATAATTCCAGGACTATTTAGCCTCTGCTCCCAGGTCCTGTATTTCCATCCTTTGATCTACATTGTGCTTCTTTTCTCAATTCTCCCATTGGAGGCCCAAGAGGACAATAGCTCCATCTTCTAAAAAGCACATTGAGGCCTTTCCAATGAGAGGTCACAAAGCCTGGGGCTCCCATCCTCACCCCTGGGATTAGCATATTTCCCACATTGTACTGGGTGTCAGCTCTCTGCTGGGAAGGACACCTGTCACCACACTGTCAGTTCAGAGGCAGTTGGCGACTGACCTATTGAACTCACAAAATCAACCTGGGAAAGTGGGTCAAGATTGATTGCATACTGTGACAGCTTTAGGATCGCTTTAGGCTCACCTTGTGGGAGCGACATGCTTGTCTTGGGCACAGGCCAATCAGGGTTAATGGGAATTGCCATATGAGATTGCTGAAAATCATGAGACACTCGGAGAATGGACCCTTCTGGATTGATCTGAGCAAAGTGCCAACTGTTAGGGGCCAATAATTGGAAAAACCAGCTGAGTCAAGTGAAAGTAATTTCTCATGGTCCTTAAAAGAAAGAAACATAAAAAGCTGTGTTCTTTTTTGTCATTTGCACGTTTGCAGTGCCTAATGATTATGTTCATTGAGAGGAGTTGGTACAGGTACAGAACACATCTTAATTCTTTTTCTGTCTCTGCTGTCCCCTTCCCACCCCTTTGCTCCATCTTTTGGTCCCCTTCCCCTTTGATAAAATTCCATCTCCCTATCGCTTATTAGCTATCTTTTGTTTCACTCTTTATTCTTAGTTTCCCTGGGCAAAAAGAAAGATGCTTTCATTGCTCACATAAAAGAGTAAAGACAACCTTTTTTTTTTTTCATGTAATCCTTTAAAATCAGGGAATCGCAGCTTGTCACTGAAACTTACATTTTCCACTCTAGTTTAATGCATTGCCCCACCGTTAGGTGCACCCAGAACCAAATATTGGCACAGAAAGTTTTATGAAATATGAAGATGCTATACTTGGAAGCCTCTTTCTTAAACTTGGCAAATTGTATGTTGCTTCTTAACTAGGGTTTTCTCTAGCATTAATTCATTTGGTTCAGGGGCATAAAGTCTGTATGACACACAGTTTAGGATGTGAGTCCAGACTGGATCAAAATCTTGTTGGGTGATAATAAAAACTCTCTGTAGAAATCCTTCATACTGGGGTCCTTTCAACATGATACCAAACTTACTATTTCCCATAATGATAGTCAATTATTTTCAACGCCAAGTGCCAAGTTGGACATTAGGCCCCTTTCACGTAACTTTAGTACAACAATAAGTAAGGACCCAAATATTTTATATGGGGCATTTTCAAGAAATCTAAGGTTGGTTTCTGTTTGCTGTGATCCTTCTCACAAAGAGCACAAAGAAGGGATTCTTTTCTCTTTTAAGGGTGCCAAATTCTCAAAATTCCTGAACATAATTTTGTAAACATGAAAATATTTCTCTAAAAATACATGTTTTCCCCTCCCTTCAATAATTTGACAGGTGATCTTTGAAAGACATCCAAAGAGATCTCTAGGGATTTAGCTCAGTGGCATAAGGGCCTGCCTAGCAAGTACAAGGTCATGAGTTCAACCCTGGTACCTAAATAAATAAATAAATATAAAAATACATGAATACCTAAAATCACCTCTGTTAAATCCATATGAGAAATTTCCCATGTCCTGGATTGTGGGAAACAAAACACATGTGTTATCTGGCAAAGATGCTTAGCATGGCATTACCAATAATTTTGTTCTCCAAAAGAAGGGACCTCATCTATTTCTAGTGCCTCACATACAGACAGGTGGTCTGGATATTTGTTAAATGCATGCATTATAACATGCCATTTCATTATATATAACATAAAATATGTATTATATGGTTGTGTATTTTATACTAGGTTCATCCATTCAAAATAAATTCATATTTTCACAAGTAGAAAGAAAATATTTGTTCCAAAAATAGAGCAAGAAACAAAAAAATAGTCGTTTTCAAAAGTTTCAAAAAGACATATGGTTGCAAGATAATATTTGTGAAAGAAATAACACCACTTCAAGAGTGAGCTTTGCTTTGGGGACTGGAGTTTAACTGAATTAAGGAAGCTGCAAATCATTTGCATGTTCTAAGCCCAGTGGTCACTGGAGCCCCTGGTGACCAAACATGCTTGTTCAAAATAAGAGCCAGAGCCCCTCTGACCTTTGAATGTATTATCTGAGGGAGTTAT